CATGATATCTTGGCCTACTCGTATCTGACATTAAAGGACACAACATGATATCTTGGCCAACACGTATCTGACATTAAAGGACACAACATGATATCTTGGCCAACCCGTATCTGACATTAAAGGACACAACATGATATCTTGGCCAACCTGTATCTGACATTAAAGGACACAACATGATATTTTCAGTAGTCTTGATATTAAGCAAAATTATGGTATTTTTAACCAAATTTGTTGGAAATACGGCTACTTTAATGAAGTAAAACCTTAGACAAACATCATGACAACAATTAAAAAAAAAAAAACCATCATGCTTAAAACAATAATGGTTGGTGAAATAAATTATTTCCACCAAGGAAATTTCAAATAAGATATTTATTAATACTTTTTGTATTGGATACCCATTTAATACAGTTTGATACAGATTTTTGAAAGCAGAATGCTTTGATTAAGGTACCACATATAGGCATCAAAAGGCATCATTATTGAGTAAAAGAGGGGGAGCACCCAAAGGCATTATTATGGAGGAATTTAGATTATAAAAGTCTTAATATATTCTTACTTTAATTATATAAAAATAAAAAGATTATTAAATGTATTGTTAAAGAACATTTTAACTATTTAATTTTACTCAAGGAGATAAGAATTGGAAACATTTTTAAAGAACCTGAAAGAATTTGATATATTTTTTTATGATGTATAGGTATACCGTATAGGGAAAGAAGTTAAAATACTACTGTGAACTTTATTTTGGTCTTAATAGAAAATCTACAGCAACAAACTTAATACATAATATTCTGAATCAAAGATACAGCATTATTAAGACATTTAGATAATTTTAGGTTTGTTCAAAAGAAATAAGTTTTTTTTTATATACCACTGCTAATATTTAGCTTTTTTGTCAAGTGTCAATTCCTTAAATTTATTCCACACTTTTTAAGGCAATTTCCAAAAGGTTCTTTAATCTTTAACAACATTATCACAGCTTCATACTTCTAGTCAAATCCATCCACTTGGTTAATCTGTTGAGTGTTTAATGCCACCCAGCTCCTGCACTTTACAGTTTATATGATTGTGTAACTTTGTTGCTACCCTTTAATAGAAAGTTAAGTAAATTTGCCTTTGTATATACCTATTGAGTGCAGAGACATTTAAATGAATATGTAGAAGGTGTGTAAATGAGTATTAGACACAGACTACACTTATCTTTCACTTAAACTTTAATTCTACAGTTAAAGAATTAAATGTAGGGACCTAAAAGATTTTTGTATAGGTAATTTGATTTTAAAGGTACTGGTAGATGTTATTGATCAGTTCACTATTTTGATCCTTCATTGATAGGAAATGTAACAATTAATTAGTTATAGTAGAAAGTTTGTAGTATATCATGTGTAATTGTTGCCATTTCAAACTATATTTCCACTCTATGGTTTTATAAAGATAACATCCTGGGGATTTTTACTTAAAATAGTGGGCCAAATATTACAGCAAGTTTGCATAAGCACCAAATGTGAAAAAAAGAAAAACCCAGTGAATGTGAAAAATAAGTCCACTGATAAGAGTTGTTGTCGTAAAGAAAATTTTCTTGATACAATATTCTGTGTCAATCTTTCTTGAAATATTTTGAAAAATTGTGGTTGATGTTGATTTTGGAAGATGGGGATTACAAATTTTATAACTATAGTTTGTTGGCCAGCTTTTGAATTTTTCTTGACTTTTGAATTGAAGTTAACTTTTGATTTAAAGTGATAAACAATAAATTTAAAGAAAATAAATGCACCAGAGTTTTGACTTCTTGGCTCATGAGAAGTTGGAGCAAACATCCATCAGCAGTGGTATTGACCAAGCATACTACATTTGCAGAGTGGAAACACATCAGTGGTGGTTTAATCTAAAATGCCATATCAATTATGAAGTAGTAAAGCATTCAAAACAATAATGTGTGCCAAATCTAGATTAGATACCAGGAACTAGATCATATAGAAAAGCAACTTTGCTTTTGTTGCTGTTTTACATATTACTTAAATCCTGAAAGGTCTCAAAGACCCACCTCATACCAAGATTCAGACCTTCCAAAGAAAGTCATTGAATTTAGCATATAAAGGATTCAGATAGTTCACACCTTATACAAATATTAAGATATTCCTTAGTTAATCATTGAATTTAGCATATAAAGGATTCAGATAGTTCACACCTTATACCAAGATTAAGACATTCCATAGTTAATCATTGAATTTAGCATGTAAGGGATTCAGATAGTTCACACCTTATACCACGATTAAGACATTCCCTAGTTAATCATTGAATTTAGCAAGTAAGAGATTCAGATAGTTCACACCTTATACCAAGATTAAGGCATTCCCTAGTTAATCATTGAATTTAGCGTGTAAGGGATTCAGATAGTTCACACCTTATACCAAGATTAAGACATTCCATAGTTAATCATTGAATTTAGCATGTAAGGGATTCAGATAGTTCACACCTTATACCACGATTAAGACATTCCATAGTTAATCATTGAATTTAGCAAGTAAGAGATTCAGATAGTTCACACCTTATACCAAGATTAAGACATTCCCTAGTTAATCATTGAATTTAGCGTGTAAGGGATTCAGATAGTTCACACCTTATACCAAGATTAAGACATTCCTTAGTTAAAAATTGAATTTAGCAAGTAAGGGATTCAGATAGTCCGCACCTTACACAAATATTAAGACATTCCTTAGTTAAAAATTGAATTTAGCATATAAAGGATTCAGATAGTTCACACCTGATACCAAGATTAAGACATTCCATAGTTAATCATTAAATTTAGCATGTAAGGGTTTAGATAGCTCACACCTTTTACCAAGATTAAGACATTCCCTAGTTAATCATTGAGTTTAGCATGTAAGGGATTCAGATAGTTCACACCTTATACTAATATTAAGATATTCCCTAGTTAATCATTGCATTTAGCAAGTAAGGGATTCAGATAGTTCACACCTTAAACCACGATTAAGACATTCCCTACTTAGCTAAACCTTGATAAAGACATTCCCTACCCACCTAAACTTAGATTAAGACATTTCGTAATAAATCATTGAATTGCATGCAATAGATATAGGAAGATGTGGTATGAGTGCCAATGAGACAACTCTCCATCCAAGTTACAATTTATAAAAGTAAACCATTATAGGTCAAGGTACAGCCTTCAACACGGAGCATTGGCTCACACCGAACAGCAAGCTATAAAGGGCCCCAAAAAAGACTAGGCAAAATCTTCCAATCATGCAACACTTTGTCAATGATAGAAGTCATTAAAAGAAGCAATGTATTTGGACTTGCATAGTCCTTGTCATATATATATAAGCACTGGACATCAAATAAACAACAATCATTCAACATATTTACAGGAAATTGTTAGAAATAAATTTTAGAGTAATCTCCCCTTTGTTATAGGATTACAGAATTTTCTTACAAGTTAAATATTAAACATTCTTTTCTGAGTAAGCTATTTAGAGAATTATAATATGAATAATACATTATGACTTTTGTATTATATTTATTAAATTTTTGTTAGTTGGTGGCCTTTTGTGACCAAGTAAATAAAATGCAATATTTGTTTAAAGATACATAAGCATTTGATTTTATAGAAGTGAATTAATAATGTCTCTCTCTTTGAGCATGACAACATAGTCTTTTGTGTGAGTTCCTATCATGTAGTTTCTTACTGGTGTCAAATATCCAGGAGTAATAGGAAATATTTCTTAAGAGTCTAACAGGATATAAAGTGTAATCAATTTTGAATGAAACGCAAAAATTTTATAAAGTATTATTTTCATTTACAGTAAATTATTTTCAATATGGAAATTTTGTTTAATTAAGCCTTAAAATGTTTTTATGGAAATAAATTAAGATACCCAAATTTAAGTGCATTTATTTGCGGATATATAATATTACCAAACCATACAATGTTAATATATCTTTTAAAAATCAAATTAAATCATTGGAATAGAACATATAACCATTTACATCATAATTTTGGTAAATGACAGTTGATCGAAAAAAAATACTAATTTCTTTGACTATTGGACATTTAAATGTGGATTACTTCACCTGGATTTACCTGTGGACTCTCGTTAACTTTTTCTTGATGTTTGTAAATGGATTTATATTGGCTTTAAGCACTAGCAACCAAAGAGGTGGTAAATTCCTACTTTTATGGCCTTAAATTTCTTCTATTTTGAGGCAAAATGTGATAGCATGTTAAATTTTGAATAATTGTATCAATATATGGATTATTACATGTGAAAATGAATATTCATAAAGATTCAGGAATTATAAAAAATTGGTGGAAAACTTTGGTAAGTTTTATTATTTACAAAGGTAATTAGAGTTGACTTTCAACCAGGTAAAAATATAAATGCCACTAGTATATAAATGAGAATACATGTAATCTAAATAATAATGTAAATAATTATTTTTAATCACATTAAAATTAGCAAATAATAAAAGATGCTGATGCAGACGATTACTCAGGTGTGATTCTCAAGACCCTCTTTTCTAGGCAAACTTCATGTATGATGTTTTTTTTCTGTGCATTCTGTGAGAATATTTTCTTATTCAATTCTCTTTATCAAGATTTTACATATAATTTTTTTTATATACTTGATTGAATAAAGCATATTCACATTATGGTTGATATTCATTGCTCACTGAATCGTTATTTAAGTTTATTTTTGGTAGGACAGCTACAAGATTTTATACTTATAATGCATTTTGTACAAGCTAGGTGAATAAGCTTCCTCATTTGAGCTTAAAACTGAACAAAAAAGCTTTTAAAATGTTAACGTCGTTGACTTTCTCCTAGCAATGTCTATAGAAGTTCCAAAAATGCACTTGACTTAAATATGCATCTACTTACTTTATCAATATTAGATAAAACCTTTGTTGTTTAAGTTATTTATGATTTGACAACTGTAATTCAATGTGGAATTAAAATGAAATTCAAGATTAAGATATTCTGATTTAGTTGTATTTAATCCTGAACTGTATAAACTGTTTGAAACTATTCTGGGGAAAAAAGGTGAAGATTCCAAAGGGAGAATCGAAACTTACAAGTGTCATGACAGAAACAAATCAGGAAAAAAGGGGAAGATTCCAAAGGGAGAATCAAAACTTACAAGTGTCATGACAGAAATTTTTAACAAATCAGGAAAAGAAAAGGAAGATAAACAATTGTAGTCTACAAACATTACATAAAAAACTAAAGATAAACCACTGTCCACAGTCTACAAACACTACATAAAAAACTAAAGATAAACCACTGTCCACAGTCTACAAACACTACATAAAAAACTAAAGATAAACCACTGTCCACAGTCTACAAACATTACATAATAAACTAAAGATAATCCACTGTCCAGAGTCTACAAACACTACATAAAAAAACTAAAGATAAACCACTGTCCACAGTCTACAAACATTACATAAAAAACTAAAGATAAACCACTGTCCACAGTCTACAAAAATTACATAAAAAACTAAAGATAAACCACTGTCCACAGTCTACAAACATTACATAATAAACTAAAGATAAACCACTGTCCACAGTCTACAAACATTACATAAAAAACTAAAGATAAACCACTGTCCACAGTCTACAAACATTACATAATAAACTAAAGATAAACCACTGTCCACAGTCTACAAACATTACATAAAAAACTAAAGATAAACCACTGTCCACAGTCTACAAACATTACATAAAAAACTAAAGATAAACCACTGTCCACAGTCTACAAACACTACATTAAAAACTAAAGATAAACCACTGTCCACAGTCTACAAACATTACATAAAAAACTAAAGATAAACCACTGTCCACAGTCTACAAACATTACATAAAAAACTAAAGATAAACCACTGTCCACAGTCTACAAACACTACATAAAAAACTAAAGATAAACCACTGTCCACAGTCTACAAACATTACATAAAAAACTAAAGACTGACCAACACAAACCCCAACAAAGAAGTGTTCAATACAGAAGTAGAGTTGTCTTGCTTCTGAAAATATTGACTACAATGATGCACCAAATTATTAACATGCTGTTTTATGAGCAGATTATAAAGATCACTTTTTTTCTACTACATTTACATCTAGACAACTATAAAATTAACTGACAATTTCATTGCAAAGTTCACACCACCAAGTGGTCTATAAACACTACATAAAACAAGGAGGTGTTAGGTACACATCAACGAGTCAGTAATCCAACAACACAATGAAACCAGAAAATACATCAACAATATACAAGTGTCTTTATCATATGTCAACTAGATTGCCATGTTCTGAAATACTGCAATATATTACTTCTTGCTTATCCAACTAAATAATTTAGGGAATAAAGGAGACTTCAACATAAATAGCTACATTCTGAAGTTTGAAAGTAGACCCCCCCCCCTCCTATTAGACTGAACAAATTAAAGTTTCTGTAATTGTCAGATTTTCTATTGGAATTTTTTTTATCAATTACAGAACACATAACAGATTCAGTCTTAACTTTAAAACAAATAGTTAAGAGTACAATCTCCATCTTAAGGAAGTTTGCTACTCTTTTTTAAAATAACCAGCTTTTTAAAAGACTGTTATAAATCAGTATCAAAATAATGGAACTAAAAAAGTATAAAAAAAATTATAAATCCGTGACCTTGTTTTTGAGATATAATCCATTGAAAATTTGGTGGGAAATGATTTTGTCTAGATTTTTCATACATTTAACATTGGCACTTTCATTTTTTCAAAAAACTATGAAAAAATAACAAGGATTTGATGAGATTTTCAAAAATGGCTTTTTAAACTATATGTTATTAAAATTATGAAAAGAAAAGTATGGGTTAGCAGGCAAAATTTTTAATGACACTACATAAATAAAACCAGATGATTCCGAATATCTGACAAAAAGTCTAAAACAAGAGCAGCAACATCCTTAAATTAAATTATGACCTTTCAATGGTATTTTTGAGCACTTTGTAATTAATAACTGTAGGGAAGGGGCAATAAACCCCATTTGGTTTGGTTACAAATTGTAAGTTAAAGTTTAGGGGAAAGTAGATGCGACAAAAAAAAAAATTAAAAAAGATAAAAACAAAAATTATAAATTTTCAAGCAATATTTTATTCATGAATGAACTATAGCATGTTTATTTTTGATCAGATGTTGTGATATTTATGTCTGAATTTTATAGCATTGAAAAATGAAATTTTCTGGATGTTCAGGTAAAAATATTGGCTATTGCATTATTTTCAATACAAAGTCTGCCTCAAAGCATTGTTTGTGGATAAAATTAATGATTGCGGATGTGAAAATTTAATAAAATGAAGTTTTGATTACAATATTGATGATATTGAATTAGTTATCAACTAAAAGATAATTAATCATTAAAGTTCTGTAGTGTATTAGATCTAATATATATGCAAAAGTATTGAATAAAAGTAATTAGTTATTTCCTGCGAAGATTACATGAATTATCGGAGTATGCAATACAATCAGTTGTATTTTATGGTTTGTCAGTGATTGAGTTAAACCCCTTTGGGTATTGGTAGGGTATAACTAGTTTTTGTTGCTAGGAAACTAAAGCAAACAAGCACCACACATATTGTGTTCTCTGTAGAACAGGATCTCCTGATATATGGATTGATTGTCGGTGTACAAAACAACTTTCAGCACTCTTGGGTTTATCATGGCTGTCAGTTTTTATTGGTGGAGGAAGCTGGAGTGCCTGTAAGGAAACACGACCTGTGGCAGGATAGCGGGAAGTCCTAGTCAATTAAAATCAAAGTCAAATGCACTTGCCACAAGAGGGATTTTAATACACAACCTCAGTGTTGACAGGATACAGAGCCCTGCCTAGATATACTGAGTTCCATGTTCGAGTCTTTATACTACTGAAAAAATCTAATAACTCTATAATGTGCTATCTTCATAATAAAAGTGATAATGTAAGACTATAATTAAAACAAAGGAAAACATGTGTTTTATTCAGTATTGCTTTTACTAGAACTTTTGGTCAAGGCCTGGTGGACATGCAGCAAATATGAATTAATCTACTGCTCAGTTTTTGTTTCATGTTAGTCTGTTGAATAAAATGTTTTTGTTATTTCAGTACTGCTGTTAACAAAACATGTTCTGTTTCTCAATTTTTGAATAGAACATTTATCTGTTTTTTTTTCGATATTGTTTCTGCCAGAACATTTTCTGTTGCTGAGTGGTACTGTCTTCATAAAATGTTCTTTTGCTATGCTTTGCTGTCTTCAGAACTGTCTTTATTTATTATTATTGGTGTAAACAGAAAATTTTCTGTTGCATTGTTTTGCTGTCAACAGAACTTTTCTTATTATTCAGTATTGCTGTTTCCAGAATCTTTTCTATTGCTCTGTAATTTTCTGCTTCTGTCACTAAAACATATCTGTTTCTCTATATTTTTGTTACCTGAACATTTTCTGTTGTTTGGTATTGTAGTTAACTGAACATTTTCTGTTGTTTGGTATTGTAGTTAACTGAACATTTTCTGTTGTTTGGTATTGTAGTTAACTGAACATTTTGTTTTGTGTATTGTTGTCACCTTAATATTTTTTGTTGTTCTGTATTGTTGTTACCAGAATCTTCTTTTTTTCTGGTATTGTTGATTTCTAATCATTATGCGTTGTTGTGTATTGTTGTTACCTGAACATTTTGTGTTGATGTGTATTGTTGTTACCTGAACATTTTGTGTTGTTGTGTATTGTTGCTAACTGAACATTTTGTTTTGTGAATTGTTGTTACCTTAACATTTTCTATTGTTTGAAATTGTTGTTGTTTCCTAAACATTTTTTGTTGCAGTGTATTGTTGTTCCTCGAACATTTTATGTTGTTTTGTATTGTTGTTACCTGAAAATTTATAGTTCCTTTGAATTATTGTTACTCAAACAAATTGTGTTGTCTGCATGGTTTAGTTGTTGTTTGTAATTGTTCTTACATAATTATTTTCTGTTTTGCAGTATTGCAATCACCAAAATATTAGCTTTTAGTATTGCTGTTACCAGAGTACTTTCTGTTGCTATCCCCAAAATATTAATCATTACTCAGTTTTGCTGTTCAATTGGGATTTTTGCTCTTTATGTTACTACCAAGAGAACCTCTATATGTCTCAAACCAGTTTTTGTTTAATGTTTTACCTTTTCTATTTACAGGAAGAATTCCTTATCACAGATGACTTATTTGTGGAATACTTCAATGCCTTCTTGGCGTTACCTGTAAGTACATCAACTATCAAAAATTTAAAAAAACATTACTGGAAGGTATACATATATACCAATGATGTGGAAAACCTCACACTTAAAGTTAGTTCAAGATAAAACATAATGAAATTTGGGATTATACACACACACATTGAAAGAAAAAGAAAATCTTGCTTATACACAAAAACATTCAAAAGTTGATACAAGAAAATCATGATTATACACACACACATCCGTAACATAAAATAAAGAAAAAGAAAAAGTGAATGTACACACTAAAAAGTCAGCCAAAGCCGCTAGGTACAATAATTGTGAATGAGTGTGCTTTTGCATTAAAATTCCCTGCCTACCAAAAAGCAACTAAAGTATATTTTGAATGTTAGCATAAGGGATATAATTTCTGTGTAAAGTCTGTGCTCTCAGTTTATATATGAACCTTTAGGTAAACGGACAGAAAGTCACAGGACAAAAAGTCACAGGACATAAAGTCACAAATTTGATAGGACAAAAAGTCACAGGACAAAAAGTCACAAATAATTTGTTGACAATTGTTTGAATGTATAAGAGAAAGATCTTGAAATATTTTCTTTTTATTAAAAATATATTCATTTTTAAGTTTAGGAAATTGTTCATAAGCCTTGATAAATGAAAATTTATTAAATTTTAATCATGCAAAGGATATATTTCTTGGCACAATGAAGCCATTTAAGTACCAAGCCACTTTAACATTTGGTTTTCATAGCAATTATTTGATCATTATTGATATTTATTGAATAAATATTAATTACAAAGTTGCTTCAAATATAATAGTTCAAGAAAAAACAAAAAAAATATTTTTTAAATAAGGGTTTTCTTGTTTAAAGAAAAATAATCTCAAAACTGAATTGTGACTTTTTGTCCTGTGACTTTTTGTCCATGACTTTTTGTCTGCGACTTTTTGTCCTGTGACTTTCTTTCCTACATTCCAGACCTTTATACCTATCACATTGTCATACTTTACCAGCTTACTAAAGGAACAATATGTTTGTCCATACTCTGTTATGTATATAATACAAACATTAGAAAATATACAGAAAAACCAATAAATAGTCACAATATATTGATTTAAAGTATTGTATCTTAATGTGAGTTATTGTTCATTGTCGGATATTTAAAAACTCGAGCATTAGCTTCCATTGTTACATATTTTGTTACAGGAAATAAACTTAAAATGAGATTGTTGGTTGTAAAAGAGAAAAAAATTGATAGACTTAAAGAAAATTATTGTAATTCTTAACATATAGAGTATCAAGTTTTTTTTAAATTGAAATCAATAGTTCAATTTAAGTGCCCTATTTCTCTGAATTGAAAATGTATCAGATTTCAAGAAAGGTACAGTTATTGGATAAATGCACCTAATGCTTGAAGTCCATAGCAATTTCTCCTTTTAGTACATATGGTAAGAGAAGCCCTTTCCTTTAACACAAGGTGTAGGGGAAGTTGGAAGCTGGTACATTTTTACATGTATTAACATTTGAGTCAAATTCTAACACTTAATTTTTTTTAAACTGCATTTTTTTTTCAGAAAATCTCACCAACATTGTCTTTTGAACAATATAGGAATTTGTTTCAATTTTAATCAGTTTAAATATTGTGAAAAATGAAATTTGAAAAAAACAGTGTGAATAGTCACTGGAAATAATTGTGCTGTTTCTCAAAATCATTTCCAGATGAAATGATTTATTGAAGTAGAATGTATGTATGTAATGCTGCATATCAAATTATTTCCAAAAACTTTCTCTAACTTGCATAATGCAAAAAAAATAAGATTTAAGTTTTCTTTTAAGATTAAAATCTTCTGTATTAGAAAAGTGTTTTATTTAGATTTTAATCTATATAATTGCTAATTAAAGATCATGGAACTTGAACTGGTTGAATCATGACAACTTTTATCAAGAAGAGTGTTAAGAATTTGTAAACAATTTGATGTTTGTCTTTGGTTGTTGACTTTGTTTTCTTTCCCTGTTGCCATTGACACTTACGTTAAATTAAATGTCTTACATTTCAAACCTATTAAAATCAGTGTAGCACTTTCAAGCAGGACAATTGAACCTTTGAATGATCAGGGTATTGTTGCAGTCACGTTACCATTAATAGTTAAATGATGACCAGTAATGATAATCATTTTATGGCAAGGTAGATACCATCATTTAAAATTTAATGGTTCATCAGCCAGATTTTATTAAATCTTACAAAAAGAAATGTCAAGCATTTACTTGAACTGTTTGTATACCTTATAGTTTTATTGCCCAGCAAAACACAAATAAAGTCAAATTTATGTGATAGATATGTTTACAATTCAAATATATCCTGATGTTAAGAAAATTCTCAAATATTTTATTAGCACTTTAAAACATGAGTCAGTAGAAAAGCTATGATTGATTTGTACTTATATTGAGTTGTATAGATATTTACAGGTCATGTGTTTATATTTGATAATAAAAAATGCCACTGGTACTAGAAATAGCCCAAATATTTCTACAAAACTCTTTAAGATACCAATGTTTTTGATAATGAACCTTTAATTTTCTTAAGTTTGGCCTATACATTATCATTACACTCTATGAAACACAAATTCTGAGCTGAGTTAAGACTGGGGAAAACATCTTACTACATTTTTGTATTAACCAAATCTCCATTCAAGCAATTGTAAAAAAACACTTTATGGTATTTTTCTCAGCTTAAGGAATATGAGGGAACTATATTTGACAATTTGCATCATCACCCTTTTAAAAACATAGATTAATAATTTCATACTGGTTAAACTCAAATCTTTTCCATAGGGGTTAGTCAACTACAAATTAATGGTGGCAGCAAATATTCAATACAAATGTATCTAATTGATATTCAAATTGAAATATATGCTACTTTTCAGTCTTTTCCAACACCTCTCTGTTTCAACAAGGAAAAGACCGGTTTTGAAGTTGTCACAGAAGCCAGGAAAGAAATTGGCAAACAGATTAAAGCCGCCATAAGATCACAGAAAAAGCAATCAAAGATCTACAAAGTGGTGAAAAGTCACAGTTTCATAGATATACCACTTATACCAATAGTAGAACCTGAAGGTCCAGATCATATTGAAATCAACACCAATTACACAGTGACTGTAAGTACATATCTCCTATCATCTAGGGATTTCAGAGAATTTGATTGGTTGTGCGTTATCACATGCTGACCATGTTTATTTTTAATAAAATACACCGTGTTTACAAGAGTTATCTTTATTAAAATTTTCAAAGTTAACAATAGATGTTTTTTCCAAGGATCAGATAGTCGGTAGAATATACATTTTACACAGTCCATCATTGACCTAAGATGATATAACCATGGTCAATAAATTTTATATGGGGATTCAAGCTACATCTCATCCCATATAAAAAATACTATATTATAAAAAAACTATAATAGATAGATTGAAACTTGAAAGACTAAAAATAATTAGCAAGACAAGATCTACAAATAAGTCAACATGGCCAAAATTGTTAGTTGTAATTGCTCTTTAATTATAAAAAGAAGATGTGGTATGATTGCCAATGAGACAACTCTACACAATAGACCAAATGACACAGAAATTAACAACTAAGGGTCACCATACGGCCTTCAACAATGAGCAAAGCCCATACCGCATAGTCAGCTTAATGTAGATTTTTTTCCAATTTTCAGATCTTGAAATAGCCAAAATGATCAGCAACACAGGAGCTTTTAGATAAGTCAACATGACCAAAATCTTTAGCAACATCTTTAGTCAACTCCTGATTGGAGTTCTTGCTCTTTAATGACGTTTTTTCTAATTTTTGTTTGTTTTGCCTACTATCTTAATAACTATAAAAGATAGGCACTTTAGATAGCAAAAATTATCAGCAAGGCAAGATCTACAAATAAGTTAGTGATGCCCAAATCGGTAGTAGTCTCTTTATAGGAGTGATTGCCCTAAAATAATGATTTTTTTTTTAAATGAGAGTAAGAAACTGAAAACTGAAAAAATGAGCAGCAATACAAGATCAATAACAAGAGATTTTTGTCAGGAATTCTATTCTAATCCACAATGTTTGATAATGTCCATAGTTGAAGATGCACATAGACCTAGGTGAGCAACACAGGCTCTATAGTTAAAGGTCAAGGTCATGATAGCTTTACAGAAAAAAACAGCCTTATAGAGTATGCTTAATTGTTTTAATTTGATTGGAAATTTCACAATATTATGCATTTATTACAAAAGGAAATCCATCTAGCTGATCATGCTATTTAATATAAATAACTGATTTCAGTTTGTTTGTATGTGAAATCTATTTATTCAAAAATTTTTAGTGATTTATTCTCCTCTTGATATACATGTAGTATAAATGGTTCTACTAGTATTCTAAATACTTGATGGATTTGTATAAAATTTATGTAAAACCTTTATGAAAATGTCATTCAGTAATACATATGGAATTATATGCTGTTGTTATTTCTTAATTGAACTAAATTGCTTCATTCATGCCTTTGATGTATCAAAATAAAGCTAAAATGTGATGTTCTTCATATTACAGACTTTAAATAAGGAACAGGGTATACACTGGGTAAAAGAACGCAGAATGCCAGCATTTTTAGAAAGTGACCTATACATGGAATATCGTCTAGCTAATCTAGTATCACAGGCCAAAATTACTGGAGACCAAGGAGAATATATATTAATGAGAATAGATTTCAAACCAAAAGTTAAACATAAAAAGAAAGTTGTAGAAGAGGAAGTAGAAGTGGATCCTAAAGAACAGATGATGAAAGATATGTATGTTTGTATGGGCACGGCATCAACCACTGATACAGACGCTTGGTTTACTGCTGCTAACATGGCAACAGTAACCAGTGTTACTTCCTCAACACAGTTAAGACCAAGGAGTGCTGAAATGACAAAGCGTCCAGTCAGTGCACGACCAGTAAGTGCATATAGTTCAGTAGATAATTATAAACGGTCTGAAAGCGGATTAGCCTCATCTTTTAAAAGTTCTGTGTATAGTAATTATAGGAATACACAGAATTCTGATGATTACGATGATGTGTATTCTAGTAAACTGTTTGCTGTTGATGGTAAACCTATGACCCCGAGACCCACAGATTCTGTTTGTGCTGTTACTGAAGATTATAGGGATAAACATAACCAACCTTTCAGTTCTACTGTATACTGTGTACCTAAAGTTGACAACAGTGATGCCGAATCTGGATTAGATATAAGTGATGACACAGATTCTGTCGATTCTAAAGATAACATTGATCAGTTAGAAATGCTACAAAATGAAGGACAACTCTGTTCAAGGAAAGGAAGTTCTGATAGTATAGTGTTTAAAAATATTGATGATATAGGAACTGCAATAGTAGGTGCTGTTTTAAAGAGAACTGTGTCGTCAATTTTAAACATACATGATGATGATCTGCCTTTGGAAATATTAGATCAAATTCCAGGCTGTGAACTGTCAAAACATATCTCATTGGAGCATTTAGACAGAATATCATTACAAGAAGTGCAATTATCAGAGGAGGACTCAGAGTTTACTAAGGTAACAGAAGAACAACTATCAGAAAATGATAAGAAGAAAGAAGAAGAAAGTGATGCAGACTCGCTTCTTGACAGTGAAGATGATTATGAAGAAGAAGATACTTTCTTCAGGAAACATAAAGCAAAGACATTTAAGCTGACAAACAGGAAAGGAACAGAAAAGTTTAAATCATTCTTAAGTGGGACAATGGGAGAAAGAAATTGGAACTTGTGGCTTGATATTGATAAAACCAGGTTTATGACAGACGATGAAGCTATACACAGGTGAGTTTTTCAGATCAAGTTGATAACAAGTGGTGAAGCTATTTACTTGTGAGTTTATCAAACCAGGTTTATGGCAAATGGGGAAGCTATTCATAGGGGAGTTCAGGTTTATGACAGATGATGAAGATATTCCTAGGTGAGTTTGTCAAACCATGTTTATGGCAGATGAGAAAACTATTGGCAGGTGAGTTTGTCAAACCAGGTTTATGAAAGATGATGAAGATATTCATAGGTGAGTTTGTCAAACCAGGTTTATGACAGATGATGCAGATATTCTTAGGTGAGCTTGTAAAACCTGGTTCATGACAGATGATGACGATATTCATAGATGAGTTTGTCAAACCAGGTCTATAGCAGATGAGCAAACTATTTGCAGGTGAGTTTGTTAAACCAGGTTTATGACAGATGATGAAGCTATTCACATGTGAGTTTGGAAAACCTGGTTTATGACAGATGAGCAAACTATTTGCAGGTGAGTTTGTCAAACCAGGTTTATGATAGACGATGAAGCTATTCACATGTGAGTTTGGAAAACCTGGTTTATGACAGATAAAGCTATTTACAGGTGAGTTTGTCAAACCAGGTTGATGGCATATGATGAAGCTTTTCACAGGTGAGTTTGTAAAAACAGGTTTATGAAAGATGAAGCTATTCAGGGGTGAGTTAATTTAGCCAGGTTTATGAAAGATGAGGAAGCTTTTCAAATGTGAGTTTGTCAAACCAGATTTTTAGTTATCTATTGAAAAAAAAAGAAATTAATATTTTGGCTTTTTCCTTAAGTGATGTTGAAAGAACATAGCTCATTTTATTCTTGTCTTTAACTAGGGCTAACTTTTAAATTTTGCTGGGTCAGAAGAATGAGAACAACTATAACCTGGGAGTCATAGAACCTTTTGTACCATTGATCTCAAGGTTCAACTGTTGATAGTGCATATATAACAATCTGCCTGTCAATATACACAGATAACAAGGGAGCCAAAAATATATAGCTCTTTATATGTTTTCTCACCAGATAAAAAAATATTTAATGAGTCAATATTCCAGTCTGCCTGTTCAAATCAAGCAAATGAAAATTTCATTATATAAAGTTTTTTTCTGTAATCACACATTCTAATGTTGAATCATGCAGAGTAATGAAAATCAAATGTTCTTTTCTTTAATAAAAAATCTGCTGGTGGGAAGATAAGCATTTGAATATCATTCTTGGATTAGTTTAAAATCAATGACATTATATATGATATCTAAGTCACTTTATGATGTATTACACAGGTATTGTTTGTGTATTGAAATATTTGTTAAAGTTATTATACTAAAAGTCTAAATCTTTAATCCATATTATGGAAATTAGACAGCTACTGACCGTTTTGAATTAAATAGTTGACATATAAGTATTGATATCATAGCCATTAAAATTAAATGTGAAGAAAAAAATATTTATGAAATAATTGAGACCAGATATTACTAGTAATACATTCATTTTTATTCAATGAGATGCATGTAGTTTTATGTGTATATGTTAAATATTTGGTGATGACAACATTCACTAATCCCCACCCCTAACTCAAGGCACAATCAACTTTCCCGTACTCTTCATTATTGTAATGTCCATGACACTGTCTTGTCTTTTACAGGCATTTACTAGAAATGAGAGAGAAATATTTCATCCCTGGTTCATTGTTTGAGTTGACTACTGAACAGAAGACAGATCTAAATCTGACCAAACCATCATCGTGGACTAAAGAACATCTCATAGACATACAGAATAAAATAGCAGAACCACTTGTTCTGTACTGGTTTGTTGTTGTCAGAATAAAATAGTCAAGTCATTAGATCTGTCGTGGTATATTTTATCAGGTTCCTTCAGGTTTCCAATGAAGAGCTGTTGGAATCACTTTCTCTCCTAATTACCTGCTCAGTCCATTTCTGATGCCAGGGGGCAATACTCTCCTTGTTACACTGAATGATATTATTGGTGGTCAGGAAAGTGCATGATTCTTCTCAGGTCATATCTTCAACAGTTTATAATAAAGCCCTCTGATACATTTGATTTATAGTTTTTTATTCTTACTGTACTCATATGACTAAAATTGTTAAGAGAGCTGAAACTTTCCAGCTTGTTCAGTTTGTTCTATAAATCAAGTTTGCCTCTTCATTTGTTTTTTAATACCTCAAAATGCATTAAAACTATGTTTAATTTGTATTGAAATTGGATTGTTGATGTTGAAAGTGATAACTTCTGTTTTTGAATGAATTTCATAAACTTCTACTTGTTGGCTTGGAAAATGTGTAAAGAGCTTAGTATGCTCTGCATGTGCTTGTGTGTATGAAAGAATTGCAATGTTGAATGCAGTGCCAAGATCAATAATTTTGGCAGCTTTTAAGAAGAGAAGTCAAGCTTGTGTTATAATATGATGAATGCCTGGGTGAACAATTTGGTTCCAGGACAAAAACTTTTGTGAAATATTTTTACCAAACTTTGCATGATGATTTCCATGGAAAGAGAAAGACCCTTTCTTGATTTTGAGATCAATAGGTTAAAGGTCAAGGTCATATCAGCTATTGAAAGTCTGAAATTTAAGCAAAATTTTGGTTGAAACACATGTCAAACTTTGTTTGATAATGACCCTTGGGTTGAGAAAGACCCATATTATTTTTGGGTTCAATAGGTCAAAGATCAAGGTCAAAGCAGCTATTGATTAATTTTATATAATTGATTTGTTTCCAGATGTAAAGTTTAAACCACATATCCAACATTTACAAAACTTAGCTTCATAATGGCCTATGATATACAAAACAACTATAGATTTTACATACTTAAAGGTCAAGGTCACAGCAACTATCCATAGTGAAATTTTGGCAAAAGTTTGGTTTCTGGATGTTTTCTTTTGAAGTTTATATCCTGCTATCACCAAACTTGGTTCAATGTATTATGCCTCATAGGTTGAGGCAGAACACTATGCTCTAATTACCTCTTCCCCTTTTGATTAAGCTTCTGTTCCAGAAAAAAAACTTCTTCTATACAATGAACATTTCCCCATAAAGGAAAATGTTAAACTTTGTAGCAGAAGACACTCACTACCTTGAAATTAACAATCCATGGGAAAAAAACATTAGTATATGACTAAAAACCTACAAATCTGTTTCATGACAGTAATATACGAGAATGCATGTAATGGCATGCACAGACATTGAACATATTTGGATGTTGTTTGACGAAAAAAGGATGTGTAAACAATTGAAAAAGATGTTCATGCAAATAGCATATTAGTTGTCAACTATGGCAACCCAACAGTACAAAAAATATTTAAAAAGTCTTTTGGAAGCATAAACATGTACATGTATTTTTTTCTGATGAAGTGTTAACTTAATTGTTTCTGTAAGAATTTAGTTTAGAAATTAATTACATGTTAAATTTTATGTTTCAGGGCTCCTAGATTTTTACTGACCCAATTAAGAACAACAGACCCAGCCAAGCATGCTGAATACCTCAATCTAAAGTACCTTAAAACCAAGCCTGATGTATTCCCTACTCGTCCAGCAGCCAAACTACTGCCACTACGTCCTAAGTCATGTTTTCCAAGGTTCAGACAACAACCTTTTGAGGCAAGTATACAATGTCTTGCTTAAAAAGTAACTTAAATCTGGCAGATCGATAGATATTAGACAAAGGAAAGAGAAATATATGCTTCATTTCAAATGGTTGAATTATGATTATGCAAATATCATTAAGTTACATACCAGAGGCAGAGTAGTGAAACATATTTTAACACAATCATTTGGTAATCCATACAACATATACAAATAGTGTCTCCTCCATGACAGTCTTGAACATAAAACCAAATATTGAATAAACAACTCTACTAATTTTTAGTGTTTAGTACTGGTCTGGTATTCGGAATGGCTGTCACTGTGGAACACAGTTTAACATTGAACACTGTATGGAAAAAAATATAAAAAACTTTTTTGTCAGAAAACACTGTCAAACATTCAAACATACTATCCACACTGTTCTGTGTCCACACTTGTTAAGTTACATAAAATATTTTTAAGACACTTGACCACTCAAAAACATTAGAGATGGTAGTATGAAATATAAATTCAATTGAGTTAAACTTTGCTTATTCTCATTTAATATTTGAAACAACCTTGTTATCGGTTTTTACATACATTATTTTTAAATTTGTGCATTTTCCGTACATCTCCCTTTGTCACAATGCTTATGTTATTATGTCACAGCAAGAACCAATTGTTCAATGATGTCATTTATGCCAATTAACCTCTGATCAACAGTTATAACTCATTCATGAAAAACAACACGATATTGGTCTGTGGAATGACCACATGTCATTCATTTGTATAAAACCAATCATGTTTATTTATATACCAAAAAAAAAAACCAATAAAGTATCCAGATTTCTGGTATTCACTTTTTTAAACAAGAGAAGAAAACAGATTAAATTCAAACAATTTCTTTGATGTTCTAGTTTTCTTCAGCAATGATTTTGCCATTTTGTGATCTTATTTATTTAAATTCTGTTACTTTATATTGCAAAGGGTTGCAGAGTTATGTGCATTAATGAAATACTTATTTATTCACAGGATCTACCATCTACTACTCAAGATACACAATTTGTGACTTCACCTCCTGTTGGTTACCGTAGAAACTACTCATCATCAGCTTTCACCTATGACAAGTTGCATGGTACCAAACAGACAATTATCACACCAAAATTACCTATACAGAAAACAACAAAACCTCTGATTTCTGGTCAAAAGTCAAGGTAAAAATACGGCTTTATCTTTTGAATAAGAATGATATGGAAACTTAAAAGATTCGATAAAAATATACTTTACTGTCTTTGGATGTATTTCATATCTCTCTAAAACTCCTACTATTCTACAGAAACAAACCAAATTTAAAAATAATCTGCTAAGTGTTGTTTCAATTTTGGTCTTTTTATTGCCAAAAAGGGACAAGTGCATGCTTATAGAGATGGTATGCATATGTTATCCACAGCTACTCTGAAACTACTCTACTTAACCAATGAACAAAACTTGAATGCATTCTTCAAAAGGAAGTTTAGTTATTTTGAAATAAGAGATGTCTATTTAATTTATAAAGCTAATTGAAAAAAAATAACCAATGATTGCATTGTAGGCCATCCACTGCAGGATCATCACGCCCAGTATCAGTCAATAGACAAACATCGCGTCCAGTGTCAGGGAATAGACCATCATCCCGTCCTGTATCTGGTGCACTGCCAGCGTCACGTCCAATATCTGCACATCATTCATCCCGTCCAGAGTCAAGAGATGCAAATCGTCCAGTTTCTGCACATCGACCAGTATCTGCACATCCTTCTGCAAGTAGGTCAGAAACATCCACTAGCACACCACAAACACAACTACGACAGCGACCTCAGACAGCAGGAGCTGGGAGAGAAAGAATTGGTTCTAAATGTTCAGATGAGTCAGATTTTATTGGAGGACACCGGATGGAGGCTTTGTTACAAGCACTGCACCATGAAAGGGAAGCTGGTGGATTCTTCAAGAAGTTCATCAACAGAAGTGGCAACAAGGTTGTAACTAATCACTGGGATAAATACATGTCTTTTAACATACTTTTACTTAAGTTTATCATTGTTTACAATACTGAAAAAATAGAAATGTTATACTTCATATCAAAGAAAAATTAAACTGTCACTAAACCATCATGTAGAAACACAAGCATACTGCAAAACAAAAGAAAATCCAAAAATTGCATGAAAATTACTAGTATCAATGTTCAAATTTACAGTTTTAAATCAGCTTTCTATCGTATTGTCTATGATTGTTTTAATTAATAATCTTGTATTTTGATAAACTGTATAATTTCTGCAGCCTCTATTTACTTGACATGTATTCTGTATTTTGATAAACTGTATAATTTCTGCAGCCTCTATTTACTTGACATGTATCTTGTATTTTGATAAACTGTATAATTTCTGCAGCCTCTATTTACTTGACATGTATCTTGTATTTTGATAAACTGTATAATTTCTGCAGCCTCTTTTTACTTGACATGTATCTTGTATTTTGATAAACTGTATAATTTCTGCAGCCTCTATTTACTTGACATGTATCTTGTATTTTGATAAACTGTATAATTTCTGCAGCCTCTATTTACCTGACATGTATTCTATATTTGATTGGTTCTCCAAAATAAAAGAATAATATTTTCATATTTGATCAGCAGTTGTAAACTGTATGCGTGTTTTGGACCTGTCAGACACCTACTTTCTGTTTTTCAATACCTTGAATTACGTGTGGGGTAATAACTGGTAACACTACAATGTTACAGATGTGGATTAATTGCCTGAGTTTCTATATACATTACACATATATTTTGGATTTTACACTCATGGATTAACTATTTGAATTTCTTGAGTTACAATTTGCATAACTTATTTTATATTTCATTGTTGTTGATTAACAGTTTGAGTTTCTATTTACATGACATATATCTTGTATTTTACAGTTGTGGATTAACTGTTTGAATTTCTGGAGTGAAGTGCAGGACTACCATTGGTTATTTTATACAGAATTCATTGACCCATATATACTACAGAAAAAAGCAAAGGTATTGAAAACTATAACTATATACTAATCAAGCAAAGATGCTGCTTGAACTGCTCGTCTTGAACTGCTTGACTTGAACTTGCGTTGACTTATGTGGTTATGCTCCGTGTTGAAGGCTTCATTTGAGATGATTGATTGATTGATTGATTGATTGGTGTTAAACGCCACTTTCAACACTATTGTGCTATTTCGTGGCGGTCAGTTTTTATTTTTGGAGGAAGCCGGAGTGCCCGGAGAGATGAAGAACAGCAATAAAACCATTGTCCTTTTCTTATGGTTTTGTCTAGGGCCATATTCTTTCTTGTCCTTTGTAAACTCATAAATTATTGTGTAGCTTTTTCTTGCCAAAAATGGGACATGGAGAAAATTAAAAACAGCGAAGTTCAATATTTTTGCAATGTAATTAATTGAAAAATATGATTAGACATTGGCCATTCTAAAATTTTAAATATTGTGTTTAAACATCTTGTTCAAATGTTTCTGGTATTGTTTGATATGATAATATTGCCCCTTTACAACGTGCAACCAATAGTCTTTTAAGAATATGCATGTAAAGATTTGGTAAAAACACAAATTCAAAGAAATATGTTGCTATTAATATGAATGTTACAGGTTCCAACTTCATTTTTTTTTAAACTTACAAGTCTTAAGAAAATATGATATTTATAGTCCCTTGACTGGAATGGAACAACGTTATTTGATCTTAAGATTAAACTTTGTTTATTTGTGTCTCCCCTGTGATGAAAGTTGGGGAAAGCAAGACTTAGGGATTGCTTTCTGGCTGTGGCAACGATAGCATCAACAATTGTTAAGTTTTCTGCTTGAGTTAGTTTGATAGGAACTACTTGTGATAGATCATTGACATTTAATGTAAAATTGCATTACTATTGGTACATATCAATTTAAAGACTATTTCAAGGCCCTGCCCCCTAGGTCATGGACCAACGACTTTGAATTAATCAGCAATTTTCAATGTTAAGTTTTCTGCTTAAGTTAGTTTGATAGGAACTACTTGTGATAGATCATTGACATTTAATATAAAGTTGCATTACTATCAGTACAAATCAGTTTGATGACTATTTCGAGGCCCTGCCCCTAGGACATGGTCCAGTGACTTTAAATTAATTAGCAATTTTCAATGTTGAGATTTCTGCTTAAGTTAGTTTGATAGGATCTACTTGTGATAGATCAGTAATATTTTGTATAAAATTGCATTACTTTCAATATATATTAGTTTGACGATTATTTTTAGGCCCTGCCCACTAGATAATGGTCCAGCGACTGAATTAATAAACCATGTTGCTGTCCATCAAATTGTCTTTTTCTGAATTTTATGCCGAAAGATGAGAAAAATCTCTGTGTCAACAGTTTATTTAGTTTTGATAATTGAACATTTGATAAGAAATTTCGTTTTTTAGACAGTATATTCCAAGTATATAGTTATTGGAGGCATCTGCAGCATTAGCTGTAGTTACAGTATCCGACGAGAGGTAGCCAGATGTCTACAGCCACCATTCGAGGAACTATTTGACTCAGCAGAGGAATTTTCTATAAAGGAGTTGTATGTTGCATGGACACAGATGATTACTGTAGACATGAAGACTTATGGAAAGGTCAGTAAGGTTATATGTGGCTTTTGTGGGGAAAATGGAGGTGATATTTTTATTTGATAAACTAGGAGATGTTGATAACTTTGATTAATAAAGAGATTAAATAACTTATTGAAAATTATAACTTGTTGAGGTAGGTGTTAGAGAAATGGGACAGGAGAGAGTTCAAAGCACATCTGACGATGAAGATTCAAAACTATATAATGTTTGATTTAGAAATATTCATGTATGTGTATTAATTCAAATAAATATTGAAACTGCTCAACGATTTCATAAGTAGCTGTTTATTAACATTTAAAAAATATTCACTGAGAATTGTGAACATTTACAGTATAAGGGAGATAACTGTACAAGTTTTATAAGTTATAATGATTCAAGTATTTTTACTGTTAATAGGTAGAACTAATAGAGGTGGTGAAACATTTAGAGACCAGATCTAAATATGTCCTCAATTTACAGAAAAGAGGTTTGATTAAAGAGGTAAGACATCAGAAAAGGTGGTTTTTATGCCCCACCTAGGGGCATTATGTTTTTCGGTCTGTGCGTCTGTTCATTCGTCCGTCCGTCCATCTGTCTGTCCCGCTTCAGGTTCAAGTTTTTGGTCAAGTAGTTTTTGATGAAGTTGAAGTCCAATCAACTTGAAAATAAGTACACATGTTCCCTATGATATGATCTTTCTAATTTTAATGCCAAATTAAAGTTTTGGCCCCAATTTCACGGTCCATTGAACATAGAAAATGATAGTGCGAGTGGGGCATCCGTGTACTATGGACATATTCTTGTTAATGGCTGTATTTTTTCAAATATTTAGCTTGTGTATATGATACAAAATTTAAATTCTGATGTATATAAACTGTGTTGATATAAACTTTCTGACCATCATTTATCTTGTTGCTTTTGATGTTTACCTTTTTCTTATTTCTAATTCATTTTTTTTCTTAATTCTGCATTATAAAATATTCTCTGTAGGGCTCATAAAATATTAATGCCATATTTGGGGCTTAGTTGTATTTTATATACCAGACATTGAGAAACTCATTTTACATTTCAATATGTAGAGAGTAGAAACTCCGGAGGATCCTATGGAGAAATATGAAGATCCTGTGTATGACCCAACACTGCAGGAAAGAATACCTGATGAATATAAAGACTACACATTAGAAAAACTTGTTGGAAACCGTATTGAGTTAGAGAACTTCCAGGTGTTTCTGAAGGAGAATTACGCAGATACTGATTTACTCTGTTGGATGGCTATTAGAACTTTCCGTAACATTCCATACACAGATGAGAAGGCTCGAGATGAACTGGCTACATCTATACGAGACAGATATCTTAATCAGAAATATTTCTTTGGTCCGAACAGTCCAGCAGGGAAGAAAGGACAAGAAAAGGTATAGATGCAAATTTTTACGAAATTCAGATATATGTACTTAAAAAATAATGTTAAGCAAAGTGAAATGTATCATCAATTTTTCACTAAAATGTATTAACTTAATATCATAGATACTGCCAATTAACATGAATATTAAAAACTGTGCAAAATCAAAGTTATTATAGATGTGTTACTATATTGGCCTGGTTCAGGTCATTACAGTACAGACATTTTGTGCATTGACCAACAGGTACTTACAACAAATATTAGACTGGTAAGGGTAAAATGGTAGTATGTTTTATATTTGCCTAGTAATTGCTCCTTGACTAGGCATTCACCTTTGTGTTTGCAACAAACTATATTCTTAGCTTATCCTTTGTTTTGTCATGAGTTAAGTGTATCATGAATACTTTCAAAAGTATTGACAATTATGTGCAAGTAATATATGGAACTCATTACAGAAGATGTATTTTATTTTCAGGTTATGGCTGCTGCAGGAGGTTATAGCCAGTTATTTAAGAAGAGGCCACCAAATGAAGTGTTGATTGAAGCTCAGAAATATATACGTGATAGGCTGGAGAAAAAATGGCTGCCTTTGTTCTTGGCCACATCAGAGTTTGCTGAGAGACAGAGACCAAAGGCTGGCATGGATGATGTAGTAGATGATGTCTTAGTTATCAAGAAAAAGAGATCACATAATATACAAAGGGTTAGTTCTTTTCATATTTATTACAAGTTTAATAAAATTGAGAATGGAAATGGGGAATGTGTCAAAGAGACAACAACCCGACTATAGAGCAGACAACAGCCGAAGGCCACCAATGGGTCTTCAATGCAGCGAGAAACTCCCGCACCCGGAGGCGTCCTTCAGCTGGCCCCCTAAACAAATATGTATACTAGTTCAGTGATAATGGACGTCATACTAAACTCCAAATTATACACAAGAAACTAAAATTAAAAATGATACAAGACTAACAAAGGCCAGAGGCTCCTGACTTGGGACAGGCGCAAAAATGCGGCGGGTTAAACATGTTTTTTGAGATCTCAACCCTCCCCCTATACCTCTAGCCAATGTAGAGAAAAACAAACGTACAACAGTACGCACAGTAAAACTCAGTTTAAGAGAAGTCCGAGTCCGATGTCAGAATAGGAAACAAAAGAAAATAAACAAAATGACAATAATACATAAATAACAACAGACTACTAGCAATTACTGACATGCCAGCTCCAGACCTCATGTTCTTTTAATTGAAGAAAGAAATGCATACATGATGCATAGGATTTTATAATTTTGCAAATGTTATACAATTATTACCTTATTTTCTTTTATACAAATGTATTCACAAATTAAGTGTTACACAATACCAAATAATATTACTGGTGACTAACAATAAAAAATTGATGTATTGTTTTGTTGCTAACTGATTTTATATATCCCTTAATTTTTATCATTTTGAAACACACACAAAAATTATTTAGTTTTTTTTCTCTAGCATTAATCTTTGTTATGTGACATTTACTTTTTATTTATTATTGACAGAGTTTGGATAACAATAAGTTTATCTCCTCCTCTAAAGATGTTATAGTCTTCCGTAAAGGTCTGCTGAACCCAGTGACAGAGTTACAGTTCAGGAGATATGTGTCTATATATGGTGACAATCTAGAAAATGATGTACTTTTCTGGAAAGAAGTCCAGGCATTTAAGGTATCAACTATTTACCCCTGCTATCAGGTTTTTCAATATTGTTTTATTCTGATGTAATGCTGTAAAATATTTGGTTGTTTTGAAACTAAGAGTTGTATATTTAAATGAGTTTCACTAAAATTTTGAAAGATTCTTTGGTATTTCATTATAATCTGATGTATTTTACTTTTACTAATTATATTTATATGACTATGGTTATCATGGAGGAATTGATCAGCCTATATAACTTTAAATATCCTTTACACCACTTTTAATTCCATATTTGATGTTTATAAATTTTCAGGAACTTTACCATGTACATAGTGATGAAAGTTTGATTCAGGAGAAAGTTGCAGTAATAATAAGCTGTTTTATTGACTCACAAATTCCACCAAATATCCAGATTGATATTTCACCTGATATGGCAGAGAAAATTGTAGAGAGAAAATATGAAAGAACACCTTACTTATTCAGAGAGGCTCAGGTTAATATTTCTTCCATGATTTCTTTTCTGCCTTGAATGAAATGGTATCACAGTATCCTGTCCTTTCGTACTACACAAAATATATTTCCAATATCATAGTTACAAAAATTTGAGAGAAAAGAACTATAAATGGAAAATTTCAGATGATATTGAATTAAATATGAATCCTGATTTACGATACAAGCCCTTTTGTTTATCAAAATAACAGTAAATCAACGAATTTGGTATTTTCAAATTCATAATTATACTTGTGTTTTAATATGACTGATTTAGTTTAAGCATGCAATTTTGCATTTAATTTATGATAAGGATCTAATCTTTCACTTGTTCAAAATATGGACATGTGCATATGTCTATGTCGATCACGAGATCATTTGCTTGATATCCTTACGAAAATTAAAAGAGTAACTTGGAGGACCTGAGCTTTATCTTACATACGTGAGTTGCAGTTTTATAACTTGAAAGGCATTCAATCAGAATTTTTAAATGATTGCCAACCAAAAATATTCAATTTCTGATAGAAAGGCATTGAAAAAGTCTGATCTCAGTAAGTTTTCAAATTTAATACTACAAATATGTAGGTGTTTCAATTCAGTCATTTGAATTTTCAAATTAGACATAACTGGCAAATATGACTATTTTTTACACTTGCTCCCCATTATACAAATCATGGATCAACATCTGAAATTTTTTGTTGGAAAGAAATCAAACAAAAGGGTCATGCAAATACTTTTTTCTTTCAGTTCACAGTTTTTAGACATCTATTTCGATTCTGGGACAAATTCTGTACATTTAGGGGAAACCATGCAGAAGAAAAGATATTGCCAACAATAGAGAGAATACGGAAACATGAGAGAGCAAAACAGAGAGCTGAACAACAACGACTGGATGAGCTTGCTCTCAAGGTAAATTTACATTGTATTTTTGATGATTTTCCGAGTGATTTTATGTTTGGCATTGCTTCATGTATTCTTGGGATAGAGTAGAATCTTCTCGTTTCTCATTTTATGTTCTGAAATAGAATAGATATTTCTTTTTTCCTGTACATATTAAGCTTATGGTATACAATAAATTAAAGTTATTTTTTAGCTAAATATACAAAATTCTCAGTTGAAGTTCTGTCTTTAATATGAATTCATTAAGTAAAGTAGGTATACTTTATAGAGATTTTAACACAATTTAAACGCTCACTTAAAATTAATGAAAACTACTGCAGTGTACTTGTCCTGTTATTAATTTGTCATAAATTACCGTTTGTTATCAAACATTAGAGGAGTACAGGTATGTTTTTATCGTAAAGCTTGGACGTTGGCACGTTTTCAATTTAGTTTTCAGATTTAACTATTTATGTACTATTCACAATTTTATTCTAAAGGAAGCTGAGGAAAAGAAGGTAAAATTGTGTGTTATATGATTTATGTCACCCTAATTTTACACATCAATTTACACACTTATCATTGGTCAGATTTAGATTTTTTTTTGATTTGGTAGATTGATTTTTTTAATGATTTGTCGGATTGCAATAAGATAATTGAGACATGAAGGTAAATTCTTTCTATGATCACACAAAGTAAAGATTAGTTGTCACCTAGAATTTTTTTTTATAATTATCATATCATTCAGTAACATTGATTTGCTCTCTTTGACTGTAAAACCTCTTTATTTGAATTTATAATTTTCACTAATTTATTGTGGCTAAAGGGAAATAATTCAGTGTCATTTCATGAAGTGATTAATTATTTTTTTTTTATTTTGATGTATTTGTGTTTCTCATCCAAGAATCTTAAGTATAACCTGAACTACACATGTATATACCCTGAATTGTAAATATAGCACTAAATTTCACCTGTTGTCAAAACCTTGCAGTGAACTGTTGATATATGAAAATAACCCAGTAAAATTTGCATTTTGAATTCAATTTTGTAAGATGATAGATTTTTGGTCATGTAAACAATACATGACATAAAGATGTGGCGATTATTCAAAATCATCACAATCTATCTAGCTTTGAGAATAACTTTGAATTTCAACAATTCTTGTTGTATTTACAGGCATATAAGGACCTTGTTGACTTGTTTAATTTTATTGTTCTGTGCTAAATTAAAATATTACAAATCCTGATAAGCTGAATTGTATCATGCGACTTAATGCCCTTTTACTAACTCGTGGCCCTTCTGTTATTCATCATATTCTACTAGTCTATAAGTTTACAGAAATTGTTATCTGGGATAAGTTCTCATATGTCATATTTTGTAAGTGTTACTAAAAGTCCTTTCATCACATTTGTTTTGAAGTTATAAACATCTACATTGTATGTGGACTATGCAAAAATGGAGTTCAGAACTTTTGATACCACACAAGAAATGATATAAACTTTCATATACTTTACTAGATTAATATTAGATACTAAAGCCATCTTAAATTAATATTTTATTAAACATCAGATTAACTTAATCTAATCAAAAAATATTTTTATAACAGTTTGTGAGTTTTGATCAATTGATATTAAAAAAAAATATATGATATGACAAATTTGAACAAAGTTTTGTCTATTAAGAAAGGTGTAAGTCTCATTTGTCAGAAAGATAATGATATTAAGCAAAAAAACACCAAACAAGTCGATTTTGTTTGAACACTTGAAAGTCTTACTTGCTGTAACAAACAAATGTAATTCAGTCAAGTTAAGTTGCTAGTAGTTTTACAGTGTATAGAAACTTATGATCAGAGATCTATATTTAGAATGAACAGTTTTTAGATTTGGGTCAAATGCATTTTTAATATATTCATCATTACAGCAACCTCAAAGGAAAAAGAAGCTAAAGTTTGGCAAGGTTGTAAGTCAGTGTTTATGTAACCAACCTTGGCTGTTTATGTTGCTTCACAGATTAAACCTAGCTTAACTAAAACAATGGTTTAAGTTCGTTGAGAGCATCAAATTTAACTATATAATGCATGAAAACAGCTTCATTAATTATGTTTAGTTTCAGGGTTTTCAAATGATAGTTTGTCCTATAATGTAATACCCAGTGTTATAAAACACTTTTTATATGAAACTAAATCTTATAATAAAAAAACTATATTTTGGTATGACCTCTCGGTCAAAAGCAATTGGTCTTTTTGAAATTGATTGAATCAAGTTAAGGGTAGCAGGTTGAATAAACACACAATCGGTGAATTTGCTTTGGGGAGCAGGATGTATAAAAACACTATCACAATATAATTTTTGTCAGGGATTATTGACACTACCTTGGAAATCGATTGAATTAGTTTAGTGGAGAAGGATATATAAAAAACACTATCACATTTATTGTGAAATTGATTGAATCTGTTTAGGGGTGCAGGATGTATAAATTCACTATCACATTCAATTGGACTAGGGTCATATAATCCAATTCAAGATATGACATTGTGTTCACTTCATGGTTTTAGTATGCTTTGTCTTTTGTTTTGACTCAGGACTAAATGGGTGAAACTTAAATGACTATTGATGTTGCTCCATAAAAACTGCTTACTGGGTAAAGTTGGAATTTTTTTTTCTTTGTTGAGTAGGAAGAACTACTGATATACTTTCAAGGTATTAGTGAGAAATATTCAGTTGTCAATCAAATTTTGTATGAAATGTGTATTTCCAGTTTATCTTTAACTTTTTTGTCCGGTTTAATTTCAGACTTGGACTGAATTAACAAAGTTGTACTGAAAGTATTACATTGTTTTTTGTTTGATAAAAGGTCTCTTCTAAAAGTGGTTTCACTGTTTAAAATTTTATTGGTTCAGTTTAAATGTGTTCATATTGCCTGAATGTCCGACCATTAACATTTCCACTTCAATGGAAACTAATGTGATTGAAACATAAGAATATAAAAATCAGGATCATTCCATTTTCTCATTTAAGGTATACAGGCTCATTGATTTTTTAACTTGAAAATGATTCAAAAATATGTAACACCACACAAAATTTTCTGACATTATTAAAGTCTGTAGCCATTGTGATTTTGCATGATAGCCTGTAATTTGTGGATACACCTTGTTGTTAATATTTGATAGCACTATGTGTAGGAGAGCTGTATGCCTGAATGATATACAATTACCTAAAACAAAGACTTTTTATCTCAGGTGACCATCTTCTCACTTATACAGTTATTTAATTACATCTTGGAAATTGTCCAAGGTCCAATTTAAAATCCAGTTAATTTATTATTCGTCTGCCTTTCAATAATAACAAACCTGAATAATTTTTTCTCAATGTATGATTGATTAAACAGGTCTATTTTTTTCATCTTGTGGAATATAAAACTGCATTGTTGTTTTTATCATTGAATCAATCCAAAATTTGTTATAATGATTTCCATTTTGTAGTGAAAAGAGTATTTATTATATAGAAATCAATTCGTTGGAATTTGGATTTATTTTAAATTGCATGACAAAATACATTAGTGACTGGATATAATGTGCATGACTTTTAGTATGCATGTTTAGTTGCATGTATTCAATTCATATTTTATCATCTCCAAGTATGATAACTAGGGCAGCAGAAAGTATGCAGCATTTTCAACAACTGAAGGCTATTCAATTATTTAAAGTAAATTGTGAATTTTGCTATATTTTGTGTTTCCTTCACCAGACTAATTTAAAGTTGTTTTTTCTAAAGTATGAATATTAACAACAGCTGTTTGGTTTTGATAGATTTTGAAATAACTTTTTCTTAACTGCCATCATTTAAAAAACAAAATTGTATTTTGTATATGTTTTTGTTACACATGTTACAGTGTTGGGAATGTGTAAATAGCAAAACCAGAAACCAAGAAACCAGAAATCAGAAACCAGAAACAAGAAACAAAATATAAAAAATGTTGAATATTATTTTTTTGATAACTAAATAAAATTGACATGATATAATAACACATGTGTAACTGATAAGGACTGTTCTTTATGCACCTGCTGTAGCTGAAAACCTTATCAGATGATACATACAAAAAAGTGTCAGTTCAGTGTTAGACTGCATACATTGACTTGTTACAGATTTTTAATTGTGTTGAAAGGTAAACATTGATTATAGATGTTTTAACATTGTTTTACATTTTAGCTGTAAACATATCTTTCAAGTGGCAGTTTGAGTACAAATTGTGTCATGTTATTTAATCATTTAAATGAATAGTGTCCAGTGGCCACAAGTGAAATAGAAAAAAAAACAATCATCAGTTACACTCTTCATAGTTTCTATGTAAAAATGTGTAAAATAGAGAAAGATGACACAATCTTCAACTGTGTATAAAATGGCTATAATTCAAGCATGTACATATTGGGTGCTGGTTTAACTGCTGTTCTCCCTAGTATTTTGGTTAAGACTGAATGAAGTTAAAAAGTAAAAGGATGTCATATCAGTATTAAATTTCACAAAAATGACAAAAAATATTGAAGAGATGATTCAAATGTCAATGTAACCATTAGGGTTAAACGAAACACCGGTATTTTATCCTAATTTGCAAAACACTTAGTTTACATAATTTTTACAATATGAAGAGTTTACCAATAGGTCTTCTTCAGGAAAACCTTTTTAGACATTTTTCCTAAATTTTAAGTTTTGTTCGACTGGTGGAACAGATGATTATGTGACAATGAAAAAAGGAAAGAAAGGAAATCATAAATCAAATTCAGAGGTGATATTTCTTACACTTTATAATTGTTTTACATCAACAACCCTTTACTATAGTAAACACACTAGTAAAACATCTATAAACAATGTCAACCTTTCAACATAATCAAAAATCTGTAACAAGTTATGTATGCAGTCTAACACTGAACTGACACGATTTTGTATATAATTAAGTTTTAATGCAATTGATAAGGTTTTCAGCTACAGCATCAGAGTCCTTATCAGTTATACATGTGTATTTATATCAGGTCAATTATAATTAGTTATTAGAAACATATTCAATATTACATATTTTTAATTTCTTGTTTCTTGTTTCTGGTTTCTGATTTCTGGTTTCTTAGTTTCTGGTTTTGCTATTTACACATTCCCTTACAGTGTTGGTATCAATTTTATTTTGTAAAAAAAAATATTCAAAATATGAAGATAGACTGCAAGTTTAAAAATGCAAAAGCTTTGATTAAAAGGTCACTCTCTGACTTTTTAATGGTTTTTCATAATATTTTGGAAAAACTATTATCTGTCAATTTTTTTTTAAATGTAAGACATAAGATAATTGTTTATTAAACTTTATGTATTCTACTAACTTTTATTAACACTTCTAGTAATTGTGATTCATATTTGACTATTAAGTCTTTTACTTTATAAAAAAATCTTCCCTTTCATATTTTTGTCATGTACATTACAGAGAGCTGAAGAAAGAGCTGCATTAGGACTACCACCAGAGAATGAAGAAGATGAAGATGCACTTGACCATCTACAACATTTCAGTCACCATGACGATGATGAAGAAGAACATGGGTCTAATGAGAAGAATAAGATCTCATGGTCTTATTCTAACTACATGGCTGCTCTGGAAAAGGAGGATATTCTAAACAATACAGATGAAAGTACATTCGGATCATTGTTAAATTTTGGTGAGTCCGGCATTGTATTCAGATTACACTAAGAATGATTTAAAACCATTTTATGGATAATTTTTGTACTGCAGAGACATGCATTAGATTTAAATGGATTATTTCACATTTTAAAATCAAATTATCCAAGTTTTAGAGATATGGTAATTTAAAAAAAAAAGTGCTAGTGTTAAATGCCTAACAGAAACCAAAATTTATATACATGTACTGGTAAGCTAAATATATTTCAAATTGAATATTTTTGAATATAAAATCTTTTGTTCAGGCTTAATCTTTATTGACCAAAGTCAAATGTTGTTTTTCTTTTTGGTTAATAAAAATAGTAGATTCAGTGAGAATAGATTTTTGAATGTCAATTGATGGCTAATTTCTCTTTCCAGGAGGAGAGAAAAGCAGTGATAATGCTGATGAAGTATCATTAAGTAAACAGGATGATATTGAAACAATGTCTAAGAAAGAAACTCGTTCTGAAGAAACCCAAACAGAGAAAAAGTAAGTTAACAACATGATTCCAACAATATGACAAATAAAGATACTGTTTGTAAGACACATAGACAATACAACAGTACATAAACAGGATGATACATACAAATCAAATCAAATCATTTTATTTCCTAATTAAAGGGCCCTTAAGGGCATATCAATTACAAACAAGAAAATAATAAAAAGACAAACATGTATACATTCATTTTAGACATACATGTTAATTGAGAAAGACATGGTTTCATAGAAGCTCAAAGAAAAAGTAAACAGAGGGTGAACATATCAATGGGGGCAATACAAATTCACAATTCAAATAAAAACAGACAACATCATGAGTAAAATAGTCTGCAAAATACTACACAGAAAACTAAAGATTAAGCAACACATCCTCCATCAAAAACTAGGGTGAACACAGGTGCTCTAGAAGGGTCAACAGCTCCTGCTCAACTAGTGACACCTGCTGAAGTGAATAGAATCATAAGAAGCACACCTCTTTTGAGAAAACTCTAGAGAAAAAAGAAATATTAAATATTTGGTCTACTTGATTCTGAACATTGAAGACATATTTGATACAATAAAGTGACAATTTACAAGAAAGAGTTTGTTGAGGCTCTAGTAACTAGTGCACAAGTTTTATAATACTTTGAAAAAGGATATGGAATAGAAGTTGGTTGAACAGTGACAGACAATTGGCATGATTGGTTTCAATGCATCAAAAATTTAATATAAAAGAAAAGAAACTATTAATAGTTTTTATCAGTTTACTAAAGAATACACTTCATAATTTGAAAAATATGTATATGAAAAATTCCATATTATGAGCTGTCAAGAAACAATTCTGATTTAGGAGACATTGTTTCTGATAATTTATATATAATCTATTAGGAAGTCAACAAAGTCAAGCCCAAGTCCTGACTCTGATAAAGGAGGGAGCAAAAAGAAAGTTACACGACGGAAAGGTTCTGTAGAATTCCAGAAAATGGCTTCTCTTGAAGAGGAAAAAGAGAACGAAGAATCTAAGAAAAAGTCAAAGTCAAAGGGTAAAGGTCAACAGTTATTGACAGAAAAGAAATGAAATGTTTAATCTCAATCATAGTACATGTAACAGTAAAAACAGTAAAATGTTAGTGAATACTTAACTTAATAATAGTCAGTCAGTTAGTTCATATCTGTTACCATACAGTGGATTGTTCAATGAATTGTTTTTGTTAACTCACAAAAAAGGAACAGTGAATGTGATGTTTGAGCAGTTCTAAACTATTATGATTATGTTTGTGAGTTAACTAACTTAAGACTGTGTATCTATTGTACAGGGTTGATGCAAGTTATTGTAAATCTTTTTTTTGACTTTTACAACAAGAAAAACTCTTGTTTTATTTCATTGAGGAGTTTTAACTCTCTGTCTCTGGAGTTGAGTTTGTGTTTAACAGGGATAGATTTTTTTTTAAATAATTGAAACATTTGCTGACATTTTATTGATTTACAAAGTACAAGTAAACACAGAAGCCTGTATAACTGTAAAATGGTCATTTTGTAAGTTGAATGGTAATTTGATTGTTTAATAGTTGGAGCATATTATTACATGACATGCAATTTCTGAATTTGCAAGTAAAATGTAGATGTAGGTATTTAATTAATTTATTTTTACAGTGTACTCTCTAATATTTCAAAGGTAGAATTACAATTATTATTTAATCTTTTCATAGTAAACTACAGGAATCTCAGACAAGTACACATTGTATCTACCTGCTATTTTATCTATATCATGTATTATATGTTAATTTTCAAGCTAAGTTAAATCTCAAATGATATTCTATATTCAGTCTACAATCATATATGATTGTGATGTTTCACAGTCTCCAGTCCTATGGTTGGCTGACTGACTTACATGTTTTTTTTATTTTGTTTTATATTTAACAATATTCTTTATTTAAAACAATATTTGATGATTGATAACTAGCTGTGCCTAGTATATGATAATTTATTACTTGATAATGTATTTTACATGTAATATTTTACTTCAGATGCCTTTCTGTTTTGATTATGTTTTGTATTATAGTATATACTATAAGATGATTGATTTTAAATGTGATATAAATCTTATAAATTCTAGTTAATTCCAACCTGTTATGTTTTGTCCTCTCTTCCAAGCAGACTGTGATGTTTTTTGTCTTCAAATAGCTATATTTATAATAAATAATGCTACATTTGTTGATTTTAAGTTTTTATATGCCCATCATAGACATGAATAGTATACCCTTGTCCATCCTTCAGTCTGTCTTGTCTGTTCATCTGTCCACAAAAGTTAGAGAATGCTTTGATTAGATTTCATCAAAGTTGTATGAAATATTTTAATCAATGGAATTAATTGTTTTGGTTGTCATTCCAGAAATAAAAATTTCTTATTTTAAGTCATAAAAAATCCCACTTTGTGAAAACCCCCAAAACAAATACACTGAAGATGAAATCACCAAAATGATCTACAACATATTTGTTAAGTTTGGTGGATTGATTTTTCAACAGACAGTCAGTATTCCGATGAGTACTAATTTTGCACCCGACAGGCTGACTTGTTTGTGTATTCATATGAAACAGAATTCAGACAAAACCATCTAAAACACAAAGAATAAACACATCATGCAAAGTTCTATCCTGTCAATCAATAACCCACATTTCAGTTAGTGCTTGCATCTCATGTCCCAGTGAACTTGACATTAAGGATATTTTCGAAACTAGAAGGTTTATGGTTCTCTCCAGCTTCCTCCACCAATAAAAATTGATCACCACGAAATAGCACAATAATGCTGAAAGTGGCATTAAACACCAATCAATCAGTCAATCATGTCCAAGTGAACTTGACATTAAGGATACTACCGAAACTAGAAGGTCTGCTTTAATACTTGATATTATCAGCAATATTGACGCAGATTGACAACTTCAATCAAGAATCTATGAATACAAGATAATTGCAACTTTCCAATAGTCAACTTCTCAGTTCTCAGCAGTTACATATCTTTTGCCCCATAGTATGTCTTTAGTCATGTAGTTAGTTCAATCGTTAGTTTTTTATGTTGTGTTTTGTACACTGTTACATTTATTTGTCTTTTGTTTTGTTGCCATGGCATTGTCAATTTGTTTTCGACTTATGAGTTTGAATATCCCTTTGGTATCTTTTGCCTCTCCTTTATGGCGTTTGCATATCTCAATTGATAGACTCAATCATGCATGTTCACACAATACAGTCTTCATTAGCAGTGGTGTGCTCCTTAAACAAAAGCTGGTCCAAAAGGGGAATGAGGAAGAATGAAATCAACACTACAAGTTTAAAGGCCACAATCATTAATTGGTTGACCAATAGGATATGTCTATGTATCAACTCACTAGTGACATGTTCTCGTAGTCTTAGATCTTAAGATACCAAAATAGTCATCTAATCTGTAATTTAACGTATTGTGTCCTATTCCAAATGGTGAGTTATACATGGATAAAAGGGGACACTGACCCTGTCTAACTACCTTGTCTCTCTACTTTAAGATTCCCTCAGTCTTCTTTTATTCGCTAGTGACCTACTACAATATTTTAATTTATTCTTGAAACAATTATAATAGTTTTGGTAAAAACTAATCAAAGATAACATGCTTATAATTTACAGGGACGAAGCTACTGTTAGGCACATGCCTACACATATTTTTTTCACAAATATTTTTTTATTAAACGTTATCTGTAGATGCACGTGAAGACGTCACTGAAACTCTTTCCCATTTGTACACTAGTCTATCATCCTTAGTGAATGGAGTATTAGAATTGTATGTACATTATATTCCACCTTATATAGAAACTAAACACTAAAACTTTGGTTCAGATCATTTCACTTCTATAAACAAATACTCGAATGAACCTCAACATGCTCAAAACCCTGACATTTTATACGTAGATAAATGATTATAAGTTGTTGTTGGCTTTCAACTAGCTTTCCACTTGGTCTTCATCCGACTTACAATAAAACCCTTTCCAAAGTGGGGCTTCCGTTTGGCTGTGTGGGATGTATAAATACGCAGTCACGTCTGGTCAGAATGGGGACGTTAAATCCGATGCCTAGTGTAGAGAGAATACCAGGCCCACGCTCTCTGCATGTTAAAGACACTCGCAACAACTCTTTGAGGGGTCCGTAGGTGGTCTGCTGAAAGGCAAAATTTCTGTCCCTATCCAATGAACCCTCATTTTCCAATGGCATTTCCAAATTTCCAGACCTTCATCCTGGACGACCCCTATTACAGGACCTACCTTTTGTATTTATTATTTGCCACTGGATGTTTATCAATCATTCAATCAATCAATCAATCAACTAGCTTTCGCTTAGCCCAAATGATAGTATTATTATATAGTAGTCTCAGTGTTTACGTGCCTATTTTTTTATTGAAGCATCGTCAATATGTACTATGTAATATAGATACAATGAATAAGCGTTGATTCTTGGAAAAGAAACCATGAGCCCGGAGGGCGAATCGTTTGTTTTTCATGAATCAACGCTTATCCATTGTATCTATAACTTAAACTATGTTTTAATGTCTTTTCAAAATTAAAGCCTTTTCTTAATTAGAAGGTATTGTATGTGAGTTTAAATAACCATGGTATCATGTTCAACGATGCATTACTAAATATAAGATCACAACTAATTGGTTAGAAAAATACAAATATAACACAACACGTCTGCCTTTAAATTATCAGGCATTTGAATATTATCTGTGTTTACAAAATAAGACATATTCGAACTTATTTCTAATAAAATTGAAAATGGAAATCGGGGGAATGTGTCAAAGAGACAACAACCTGACCAAATAGCATATATAAAGTATATATAATAAGTATGTTACCGAAATTTCTAGCAAGAAGCCTAATTCTAGGCACATCACGATTTACTCGCATAGGAATTTGCGAATAAACATTTGTAAAATTATGTAGTAAAACAGATGAAATCTTACTATATTTATAAAACTAAAATGGACAAATTGAATGTAATCATTTTCGTTTCAAATATGTGAAATAGCCAATAATAATCCAAAAATAAACGGTAAAACTCGCTATTATTACAAAAATATCCACAATTACATACAAAATAAGAAAAAAAAACAGACAAAACTAAAGAAAAGGGAAAACAAAGAGAATACAAGGATTCGAACCTAAACCGACAAGTCCCTACCTTTAACTTGACTCTTGATCTTAACCATGCTAACCTCGCGGCTACCAACTTATACTATACGATTGCATATTATGTATAAATAAAGATACAAGCCCTGTGTGTCCGTTGTATATCATATGTTCATTATATATAATAGACATTTAACTTGTAACCAATTGGTAGCTGAGAGGTTTCGTCGATATGTTGATGTCAGTCACACATAACAGATTTCAAGAACGGGTTCGATTCCCAGTGAAGGCATATAATAAAAATTACAAAAATTAAAGATAAGTTTTTAAATTAATTCCATTAGTGTGAACAGAAATCAGTAAATTAGCTAATTCAAACTTAATGAAATTAGGCACACAAAGGAAACAATTGAATATAATTTGGTGAATCCATTTCAGCGACAGATTTAGAAAGTGTTGATTCTAGAAAAAAGAATCCACGGTAAATGAATAGGCTGACGTCACGACAATGGTTTAACAATTGACGTATATATCAATTGTCCTCAATCAGAAAGGAATAGATATAAAAATACTAAACTGGATGTACTGCTTTATTAGAGGGATACGCTAATCTACGCTGGGCAATGCATATTGTATATATTTTTTTTTAGATTTCCGATTGTACTGCGTTAATTCATCAGTCAGATGTTATATAGTAAAATTATTTATAATTCTTCGAACTTTTCTTCATGTATATTATCATGATAAAATGACCAGTAAATTTAATATTTTTTGTACACAAAATTCTGCAACTAAAAATGCTGAAAACCGTTTTCCGTCGGGGAGCTTCGCCCCCCTGAACCCCCTACCAGGGTTCTGCCCTGGACCTGCTGGGGGCCTTATGCGGTCCCCAGACCCCTGCCGCAATTTGTGCCTACAGTTTATTTGATACCTAGCTACGCCCCTGATTTTTTATGTCAGACTTTTATTAGAAAAGTCTGTTTGGTCAGAAAGGGTTATATTAATCACCTTTTTGCTAGCGTAATGTTAAGAAATGCCAAGTCAAAGTCATGTAGAACTTGGGATACATGAAATAGAAAAGGTTTAAAAATAGCAGCAAAGCTTAATCATGTCCTTAATTGGAAATGTTAATCAAAATGTCAGCTTTTTCTGCCAGCAAGCTGATGTGAGTTATATTTATCATTTGGTGTCTATTATCTGTAAACTATTAAAAAATTGTCTTAAGCCACTGTGCCAAACATTGTCTCGGTCTCAACAAGGTCTCGGTTTTCAACATTTTGTCCAATGAACCAATCATCAAATGTTGATTTGGTCATGAAACTAGAACACAGGTGCATAACGACAACATTTAAAAAGCGAATATAAAGCTCAGACCCATATATGCAAGTTATTTTAAAGATTCTAAGAAATTCCAAAGAATTAAATGTAAGAGTGTGTGAAATAAAATCAAAGTATTTCATTTAACTTCTCTTTTAACGTCTTGCTCTCTATAAAGATAGCTTATAAGAAAATATTGACTTTAAACAAATGGCAAATGTAGTTACAAATATCTAATTTAAAGAAGGGACAAATATGGTTTATAACTATCATGTTTCAAACAAACCGTTTTTTTTTAACTGACCTAGCTTGTACTTTGTATTTAACGTTTAAAATATTGTATGGACATCGGTTTGGTGTTGAAGACTATGTTGCTCTCTATGTGTCTTTTGGTCTATTTTGTCATTGTGTTCCTGTCTCATTGACGTATATCCACATCTCCGTTTATTCATATGGCATTACGTTTGCTCCTCGAGGGTATCACATGTGCAGTAGTCGATTCTCCTGTGCTGACATGACATATTGATGCGGTTATTTTCGGTAATTCATTAATCATAGATTATTCTGCTTACCCCTCCGGAGCACCTGAGATCATCCCAGGATTTTGGTGGTGTTCGTGTTGCTCAGTCTTTTCTATTTTGTGTCTTGTATACTGTTATTTGCCTTTTTATGGTTTTTCGCTTTATTTTCCAATGGCATTGTCAGTTTGTTTTCGATTGATATCCCTTTGATATCTTTCGCCTCT